TTGACTTGGCTTTTTGGGGACTTTACAGTCATAGGTGCTAAATAATATAGTCTGGTAAGTATTAACTGGTCAAGAGATAGCATTACACACACACAGACAGTATATATATTTAAAGGGATTACATTGGTGGGCAGCATGGAATTAGGGAAGTTAAACCATACACGTTGGCTCACGCTTGTAATCCCAGCACTCAGGAAGCTGAGACAGGAAGATTGCTGCAAGTTTGAGTCCACATAATTTGTTCAAGGGCAGCCCGAACCATGTAGTGAAACACTGTCTCAAAAGGCAAGTCAAATTTGACAAACATGTTCTTTCCATAGAAACAGTATTTTAGCAGGGTATTAGATTTGAGACAAAGGCTTATTCTAGTCAGAAGTCAAGGCAATATGCAGTCTTAGAACTACATGGGGAGCTGGACCGGGAACTAGAAAGTTAGAAACCTAATGCTGTTCTTCCCACCTTTGGGGAAGCTCCTATAGCCACTCCCCTTTCCTGTCTGTCAGCAGTTTTAATTCCCTGCTTGCCCATTCAGCTGAATTCTTTACAGGTACCTGACTCAGTGTCGCAGACCTAAATTTCCAGCAGAGCAATTCTGGTCTAAGTACTTGAATGTACAAGCAACTTCTCCCTAGAAAAGCACAGGTACCAAGGCACCAGTCCATTATTAGAAATTTCGTGTAGAGGCCAACTTCTAGAAAAGAGGTGCAGGCCAAACAGGTCCTGCTTTAATGCATGTCTTCTTTAGTTTCACACCCCAGAATCCCATGAGCATTCTGCTTAAACAACTATAAAAAGTAGGCTGTATGCTGTTCCTGACATATTATATATGCCAGATCACACGTGCTGTTTCCCTCTCCCTTCCTCCCTCCTTTCCTCTTCCTTTGTTCCATCTTTCTTTTAGATGCCTTGCTGTGTCGGGACATGTAATGCCGACGCAACTTTGATTCTTTAATTTTGATGATGAAATAGTTTAGCATTGAGCACACATTTATCGAGAATTTCTTATTTATTTACAACAAGTTACATAAATGTATTTTGAGTAATATGCTCAGGAGAGTTTTTGGAGTGTAGCTCTAACAGCTGATTTAAGGTTACTTGATGTGAGAAACAGACATATAGTTGTGTATTGAGACTTCCTCTTTTCCCCTCATTGTGTAAGACTAGAACATTTGAATAAGAACACAAGTTGTTGATGGACCTGTTTCTGCTTGGAAACAAGGAAATTTTGAGTTGTGTGAGTTTAATATTAGAGATTTTAATATTCGAGGTAGCAAAGTGTGTCTGGTTGCCAGGGAGATACACTTTGAAGGCAAATCAGATTTTTCTAAAGTAAAGGGTTTTGTTTTGTTGTGGTGGGCTTGAGCCCAGGGCCAAGTACACTATCATTGCACTGTACTGTACTCCCATCCCTAAGCTTGTGGTTTAAACTTTTTTTTAGAGCCTCAAGAGTCTGATAAAACATAAGAAAGCTTTTCCCAGAATAATATATACCCCAAGTACATAAATAAAACATTTTGTAAAAACAACAAAAAAAATTTTGTAGAAACACTGGAGAGTACACCTGTAATCTGAGGACTCAAAAGGCTGAGGCAGCTCTCGAGCACTCTGCTGCCCAGTGATGGTGAGCACTTCTAAATTCTAAGTATTACCAGGTAATATTTAAATACACTTAATAAAAATCTGGCATAACGCATCTAAGTGTATTTTGCCCTGTAAAATCTGTAATTAGAAAAAAGTTATAATTGTACCAGATGTGTAGGTTTTATCCCTGGGTTTTTACTTAATTTTGAATTACCTCATATTTGTACCATAATTTCCTTAACCATTGTTACTAGACCCTGTGGTTTCATCTGGCTATTTACCACTTAGATACTTGATAAATCTTGATTCATCAAGACTTTGTCTATGTGTCTTGGCTTATTTTATTCTCTCCTTCCCTTCACACCTTTGCCCCCATCTCTCCTCGTCTTCCTTCCTTGAGATGGAACCCAGGATCAGCCTGCCACTAATGTCTGTTCCCAGCCCCACCCATCCATCTACTCACATGTCCACCCAACCACCCGTCTGACCATCCATCCTGAAACAAGGCCTTGCTAACTTGCCTGGGTTGAACTTGAGTGTGTAATCCTCCTGCCTCAGCCTCGGAAGTAGCTGGGATTACAGGTGTATCCACCTTGCCTGGGGTGGAGTATTTTCTTTGATTAGAAATTTAGAAATAAAATGAGTCATAGTCTGTCCCTTTTTCAAAATTAATGATAATATGGTCTTGAACTCGCGTTTACATAATGTATGAAAGTGCCCTTATCGTCACACCACTGCCTGTGCTGATACTGAGTTATCATTTTGAATGCTTCTTAATTTGATTACTTGTCAAGTCAGCAAGTGGTATTTCGTGTGAATTGTCTTTTTAAAATTTTATTTTATTTGAGACAGGATTTCTTGCTATGTAGTTCAGGCTGGCTTTGAACTCATTCTGCAGCCCACACTGGCCTTGAACTCATAGCAATCTTCCTGCCCCAGCCTCCTGAGTATTGGGATTATAGGCCTGTAACTCTACTCCTGTCTGTTTTGTGAATTGTCTTATTTTTTGCTCATTTATCTCCTAAACTTCAGTAAACATGGATACTGTTTTTCCCCATATACTAGAGATGTTTTTCTTCTGTCTTTTAGTTTTGGTTAAAAAGAATACCTCACAGACAGGTGTTTATGTCCCATGGACCTTTGAAGTGTGGGTGTGTTGGATGACAAAGGGATGGAAGCCTCACAGACGCGCACTCCCTGTGGGGTGGGTCACATAGGACGGATAGTGATTTCCTGTGCTGGGAGTGCAGACCTTCCTGTGCGAGTGCACAGGTGTGCATAGAGCAGCCGTGCAGGCCTAAGGCAGTTAGGCATCGCGTTCATTTTGCCAGGCAGCAGGGTGCCTGCAAGTTGACTGAGGGAGCTGCCGGGGCCCCAGGTCCGGCCCATTCTCCACACAAAGTCTGATGCCATCTGCTTTTGCCTGTGACACAGCTGCAGTTGGGAGAGTCACACAAAAGGTGAAAGTGACTTTATTCGCTGTCACAGGCTGTCTAAGGGGAAAGTGTGGTTGTCGTGATGGTCACATCTGAAGCACAGAATACCGAGATGTTTTTCTGTTTGTCTTTGAGGCAGACTCTTGTTGTATCATCCAGGTTGGCCTAGAACTCTTCTGCATAGTCCAGGCTGGCCTTGAATTCGTGATGCTCCTGCCTCAGCCTACCGAGTACTGGGATAACAGGTGTGGTCTACCATGCCCTGTTCAGAGGGCTGTTGTTAAACGTATAAAAGATTGTCATGAGGTACCATCTTTTGTGCTGTAACACACGTATGTGTCCTTGAAGATAATGGTGAGGATCACTTGTCTGCCCCCCCCCCCCCCTTTTCCGGTACTGGGGATTGAACTCAGGACCTTGTGCTTGCAAGGCATGCAGAGGAACCACTGAGCTAAATCCCTGGCCCTGTCTGGCCCTTTAGACAGGAGTGTTTGTAGCTTGAAAACTACTGGTGGACATTACAGCAGCCTTGGTTTCTGCCCTCCGTGACCTTGTGGTGTGGAGTTGTCTTCACAACTATCTTTCATGCTTTGGGATTAATTCTCTTCTTCCAAAAGTTGTTTTCTTAGACAAATTAATATGGACTATAGTTCAATTTAGTAGTGTGCTAGCAAAAGGCAAATAGCAAGGTTCCACTAGAATGTGCAGACTCAGAGAGGGTGTGGAGATGGGAGGAACTGTTACAGTCGCAAGACCAACTAGCTTATGTGGGTAGGTAGCATTTTATAAAGTATGAAGGGTAAAGGAAATATGTTGCATTTGTAATCACAGGTATGTGATTCGTAATGGTGATAGGATGATTGGAGATGCCAGGGAGAAAGCAGGGCAGGGCCTCTGAGTTTGGCCCTGAAATTGGGATAATGATGGTTCATGTCCCCAACAACGATGCCCATTGGGACCAGATAATAGAAAATCGTGAAAGTATTAAAACAGACATTAGAAGCAGAGCGTACCTAGCAACAAGTCCTCACTTTGATTGGGTTGCTGGTGTTGATAGCATTTTCCTAGCTATAGAGCTGTGGTATACACAGTCCTCACCCCACCCTCATTATAGGTCAAATGTATTTTTCTTTGGAAGCCCAGAGCTGCCCTGTGACCACCCACATTCCTGAATATCACATTATGTGATCTCTTTATAGGGAAATGCTAATCTACCACCTCTTCTGCATAGTGATGGTAAAACCGCAGCAATTCTGGGCTACTAGATTGATGTGTGCTCTGTGACACTAGGGCATGTAGATCACTTAAAAACAATATAAGTGCTGTGATTTTCTTATAAATTGGTTTTAACTTTTTGAAACTATGGAGTATTTTCTGTGTTTTCTTATTTCCACTGGATTTTCCTTTTTGATTGGAGCTTTGGTCTTTATGAGCAAAGAAGATAAACGTCTTTTTTTAATACCCTTATTGTAGGAATCAGTTGAATATATTGATGAGGAAGCTTTAAGCACAAGAGGAGGTGGTAAAGCTAGGTACCAGTGTCCCCACCCCCAGTGCCTGTGAGAAGTCCTGCTTGGCAGGGCTTTGGATACTAATGAAGACATTGCCTTTGGGAACTTTACTAGGTGTATTTGTATATTGCTGTTTACCCTTCCCTTATTTATTTATTTACTTTTGAGGCAGGGTCTCGCTGTGTAGTTCAGGTTGGACTTGGACTCACTGTGTAACCCGGGATGGCCTTGAACTTGGTGATCCTCCTGCCTCAGCCTCCCAAGTGCTAGCATTACAGGCATGTGCCACCACAGCCTGGCTTCTCTGTTTCTGTTGTTTGTAAAGTTTAGATTACTGTCTTTAAAAATTTCATGTTTTGAAGTAGGTTAGTAAACCTGATCTTCATTTCTGAAGATAACTATAAAGTTCAGATTCACATTAAGCACTTACAACACTTCTGCTTCATTTTTGGTTTTGTTTCTCTGTCCTAAGACTTGCTACATTTGCGATGAACAAGGAAGAGAAAGCAAAGCAGCCACTGGTGCTTGTATGACATGTAATAAACATGGATGTCGACAGGCTTTCCATGTAACATGGTGAGTATGTTTCCATCCTGCCGAAGTGAAATTGGCAAATAACTTGTGTAACAATCATGAAGACTTAGTGTGTTCATCATCTTTCTGTTGCTGGGGCAAAATAACTCATACCCAAAGTTTAAAGGGGTTTGTTTTTGGTTCATGGTTTCGGAGGTTTCACTCCATGGTCTCCTAGCTCTAACATGGCAAAAGGGAGTGGCAGAGCAGAGATATTTAGGCTGTGGTCGGAAGCAGAAAGCAGAGGAAGAGCTCAACAGGAGGAGACCAGGGACGAGAATCAGCCCCAAGGCCAAGTCTCCTCAGTGCACCCAGACTCACCCAGGAATGTGCTTTGCTAATCTCCTAGGCACCTCTCAAGCCAATCAAACTGACAATGAAGATTGACTGTCACAGTTAGGTATCTAGGTATTGATTACAATACATTTTTTTGGAATGGTTTGTTAAGACTTACTAATTTGTAAGAAAGATAATTCTAAAAACAACTGACTATATATACTAGAGTGGATTTACAATAAGTGGATCCTGGTTCTAATGTAAGATCTGTAACATTAGTCCCCCCACCCTTTGGGTTCTGGGGATTGAACTCAGGGCCTCATACTTGAAAGCTGTCAGTCACTGAGCTGCATCCCAGCTCCTCCAGTTTCATCTTTTTGGAGATGATGTTGGTTATATATGCCTTGACTTGTTGCTAAGATTGAATGACCAGGTACAGGTGAACTTTGCAGTGTCTGTACTAGTAAGGCTTCAGTGAATGTACTTCTTCACCTGTCTCAAGGGAGAAGTAATGCACTCCCCACCACGCTAAATGTTAGAGCGGCTAGTTTTCAAAAATTTACTTAGATTTCTTTTCCATCACAAAATTTCAGTGACAAAAATTACTTAAAGCAAGAGCTGGGTGTGGTGGTAGCCCCAGCATTTCAGCACTTGGGAGGCTTAGAATGGAGAGCCGCTGAGCCCAGGGATTCAAGACCAGCCTGGGAGCACAGAGAGACTGTCCCCACCCCCAATCCAAAGGAAAGTTTAGGGAGAGCCGTGTACTTTAATTTTAATAGTCAGACTGTGCCTAGCCACCACTCTAGGCATGTGCACAGTTGCTGACCTGTTAGCGTTTGGATATGAGGTACGTTTCAGACTGCCTTTTGGGGAGCGAAAAAAAGATTTTCTAGTTTTTAATACGGTCTCTATATTGCTGTACCTAATTTTCCAAAGTTGAAAGTCCTGCTTTGGGCATATGATCTATACTAATTGTAATTTTGGAGTGTTGAACGTGTGAAAGGTCAAGCTGACAGGATGATGATTATAAAGTTTAGCATTTTATCTTTTAAAAAGACACAAACCTCACAACTTCAGGTTTCAGTTTTATCTTCATTGTTTTTCACTAAGAAGCCCGAGTTTGTGTTGGTCTTTCTTACTGTGCTATGACTTTTCAGTATTTAACACCTCAAAATTAGTCTTTCTTGAAAGCATTTTTCCTTTTCAGAGTGTATAATCTGTATACATGTCATTTCAACCATATACAGTGCCTTCACCTCATTTGCACCTATGACAGAGGCTGAAAAAATACAATGAATTTTTAATTTTGAAGGGGAAATTTATTTTAGAAAGTGTTTTTTTGAGTTGGGGTCATGCCATTTTGTCCAGCTGGGTGTCATACTCCTGGGCTCAATGATCTTCCTGCTTCAGCCTCCTAAGTAACTAGGGCCACAGGTGCGTGACATCACGCCTAGCTCTTAAAGAAGCTTAACATCTACTTAGCGACGTGAAGTACACAATCCTCTTCATCCTTGATAGAGAAATGGGAAAAGTTTATTTTATTTTTTAAAGTTAATTTTATTAGTACTCTTTATATATACATAATGACCACATTCATCATTGGGAATTTGTATCTGTACACGATGTATTATCTTGATTCTGTTTTTCCCCATTCCCTTCCCCTCCCTTCAAGCTTTCTTGCCCTCATTATTTACACAGGCTTTGTTTCCATTTTTCCCCTCTTCTATTCTCTTTTTGGAAAAGTTTTATTTTAAACCATTTAGGAAACGATTGCAGGTTGAGATGAAATGTACTTGGTGACAACTAGAATAAAACTTTGTCTTTTATTTCTTTTTTTTTTTTTTTTTTGGTACTGGGGATCGAACTTGGGACCTTGTGCTTGCGAGGCAGGCGCCAGAGCCACTGAGCTAAATCCCCGGCCCTTCCCTTTTATTTCTTAGAAAATATTTTTCTTTTTTTTTCCCCATTAAGTTTATTGGTACATTTTAGGTATAAAATACAGTTACATACATCATTGGGATCTTGTACCAGAAAATATATTTTCTTACAAGCGTTTCATGTTTAGGAGTCAATTTTATTTATGTATATTGCGATTTGAGTTTTCATTGATGAACTTGGCCTTTGCTTTCAGTGCTCAGTTTGCTGGACTACTTTGCGAAGAGGAAGGTAACGGTGCCGACAACGTCCAGTACTGTGGCTACTGTAAATACCATTTCAGTAAGCTGGTAAGACAGCGTTGGGCTTAATATTGAAATGATAATAATTTGTTTTGACAGTACAGTGACACCATTATAAAAAAGAAAAAGGCATAACAGCAATTTCTTTTGCTTTAATTTTTGCCAGAGATTAAATTTGTTTAGCATGTCCTTTATTGGAAACAGATCGAGTAATATAGAGAGATTTTGCTCTATGTGGGTCCTTTTGAAAAGGTGCATAACTAGTTTAGTATATATATTAATAGTTGGTAGTAGATGCCGCTATACATTTAGTGGAAAATTTAATTTGTAAAGGGCATTATTTTCAGTTATTTTGCTTTTTGACATGTGCTTATTTTGTGATTCATTATCACTGGTTTCTTTGTTTCATTACTATTATCCATTTCATTGTTCATTATTTATTTTCGATATTAGGCAGTAGGAAATAGTAAAATTCAAGTAAGGCTGTTTTGTAGTTTGGTTTAAAGACCTTGAGAAAATATATTTAAATTCAACTCTAGGAATTGTAGATTTAGTCAAGCTTTGCTGTTGCACAGTAGCATTAATTGATTTAGCACCACTTGACTGACTGTTGCATGTTAGTGTGAAAATATAGTTCCTTTGAAGGATCAATATTTTCTTAATGTCCAAGTATCTGTTTTCTCAGTCCTTAATGGTACAGGTTTATTATACACTGAAGGTTTAAGACTTATTTTTCTTTTAGTGTTTGTTTTAGTTAATACTTTTCCTTCTTGAATGGGGCTATTTTGTTCTGTCTTTTAAATTAAGAGCATTACTGGTCACCCCTGTCTTATGAAGGGAGCAACTTGGGCCTCCCGCATTCTGGCTCACAGTGATGATGGACTGCATATATGACGGTGTCCTGTGAGAGTATAAGGGAACTGAAAACTTCGTATTGTCTAGTATTTTTATCTTACCTTTTGTGTGCTTTTATCCAAATAGGTAGCATTGTGTTTGAGTGGCCAGGGCATTCAGTTCAGTAATAGCTGTGTGGGTTTGTAGTCTAGAAGCAGTAGGCTACACCGCATAGCCTGGTGGTGTCAAAGGGCTCTGCCATCAAGGTTTGTGTAAGTATACTCTGTGATGTTCATACCGTGGTGAGATCACCTAATAGTATATATCCTGGAATGTATTCTGTTAAGCAACCTATGAGTGCTTACAAGCATGTCTGAATTGTTTGATGCTAAATATTTTGCTTTAATGACAAAAAATGCCCCCCCCCCCATGGAACTCAGGACCTTGCATTTGCGAGGCAGGCTCAGCGCCACTGAGCTAAAATCCCCCGGCCCTGTTTAACTGTTTTAAGAGAAATTTTGAGCTTGTAAAGTTGAAAATTGTTCTTCCTGGGTGTTTAAAAGCTTACTAGAGTTTTGGTTTTCTAAGCGAGTGATGATACCTGTAAAATATAAAGTAATGGATTTTGAAGTTTGTGCAAATATAATTTTCTTACTGCTGATTATTGACAGAATGTTATCCCCTTTACTGGTTGGGACAGAGTCTGTTTAATAACTTGGAAAGACTGAATAAATTAGATTATGCATAAATCTTGAACATCTTTTATAGTGATTTTTAATCTCGTTTAAACTAATTAGGTATGATGCCACCAACTTCTAAACACCCCGCGTAACTCTCTTCTTCATATTTCATTCTGCAGTGGTGTAAGAACTTAAATAGCTGTGTGTAATGCTTTTAGTAATGCTTTGAAAATGGATGGGTTTAATACTGACATTTCCTGTAATTTTTCTTAACTGCAGAGATACTGAAAGTATAAGATTAAAAGCTTGCTTTACTAGTGGCATAAAGTAACTCTTCAAATATTTACTTTTTCTATTCTTCTAGTCTTGGCATCCTTATTTAATACGGCATTTTCTCTTTTGGTTCAAACTTTTTTTTTTTTCCTCCCCCAAAGCAGACCCAGAAAATAGATAATCTGTTTTCACACATGTTAATAAATACACAAAAATATGGCATTAATGTTAAATTTAGGGTTTTTTCTTTATATTGTGATGTTAAACTGGACTATATCAATTGAAAAAATGACTTTAATTTCAGTAGACTTTGAATACTTTACACTTAAATTAGTTAAACATAACAGAAAAATTCTTTAAAAATTTTATATACATATACATATATGTATATATATTTTCTTTTTTAGAAAAAGAGCAAACGGGGATCTAATAGGTCCTATGATCAAAGTTTAAGTGATTCCTCTTCTCACTCTCAGGATAAACATCATGAGAAAGAGAAAAAAGTAAGTGGATTTGTTGTTGCTAAATATGTAGCACATCAACTATAGAAACTAATTTAAAAATTATTTTTGCCTTTTTAGGGAAAATTAAGTTCTCGATAAATAAGAGGAGGCATGGAAATATAGAAAAAATTTGACTAATAAAGAGTGTTAATTCAAAGTGGGTTTGAAATAATGCCATATTTGTGAATATGGTTTTACCCATTGCAGCTGATAAAATGCAATTTGAAAGCATGGGAGTGATTTTTTTTTTTTTTTTTTGCATTTGTTGTTAACTGTAGTCATCTTGTGAAATCTTCAGGTGACTTCAGCAATAATAGTTTTTTGCTGTGTATCATAATTGATTACTTCACATGTAAGTAATGGCTTCATCACCTTTTTCCTTTATATAGAGTAGTTTTGAAGTTCTGCTTAGTCTTGGCTGGATTTTCTTTTTCAGTGGTGCTAATGTACATTATTTTCCTAATTTTAGTATATGTGCTGCTGAAGTGAGCACAAGGTATTTTATTTTTCTAATGGCCAAATGTTATACCATTTATTTGAAAATACTTTGTCTTTTAATTAAAATACTAAAACCTTGCCTAAATACTAATCTTTTTCTGACTTACCTGTTTTCTGCTTACATTTTTTACTTAAAGGATGTGATTAATTTTTAATAGGCTAAAATGCATACTGTGTAATTATTCATACTTGATTTGTAATTCTTTAAGAAAATATTGCCAGAGTAGTAAAAAGATATGATTACTTTTAATGGAAGTAAAGATAAGAGAATCTCTTCAAATGGAAAAGAACATTCTTACACTGTTGATACAAACTAGTTTTGGAAATATTTCTGTAGATTGTCTTTAGAAGCAAGATCACTTAATATTTTCACATTTGTAAGTTCTTAGGATTTGGGAAATATTAGTGTGTATTTAAGTACACTTGGTTTAAATTTATGTTTGCCTTTCTTCAAGGTAAATGATTAAAATTTTTAGGTAGTTTTGAGATTAAGTTTTTTTTTGCTTCACTTAGATATACCTAACCTTATGCTCAAATTTAGGGCAGTTAGGTATATAATCTAAATATATTTATTTTTAGATCTTAAGCAGCAAGTGTGTGTATTTTGACTTCTTTGTGAGGTGATTTGTGATAAAGTGACAATAATGGGGGATATAACTTGTATCTGTTTGGATTGTTGATGAAAAATGGGAGGGTTGATCTAATCAGTTTTAGTAAGACATGAGATTTTATTTAAGCTTTTAAAGTCACAAACTGAAGATTCTTAAGTGTAGGGGCTCATTATAAAATGTGAAGAAGGAAGTCTTCTATAAATGGACTTCTGCTGTTTCATGAGCAGCATCGGGTTTGAGAGGTGATCATATTTAATTTGTGTCTTGTGTTACTTGAAGGACAATTAAATGTCGTGTAGTGTTGAATCTAGTGCCGATGTCTATGCACTTATCAGCCCTTGCCAAAAAAATTAGAATTTGCATTTTATGAAGTTTTTGCAATTATTTTTTTTTTTTGCAATTTTTGTTGAATGTTATTTTAAAAACATGTTTAGTCAAATTTGTTTAGCTTTAGATTTTAGATGTAAGTACTATTTAGATTTTACTTTTAGCATATACTAAACTTACAACTTGACTTTTTGTTGTAAAGCCTAAAAAAATTTTTTTTTTTTTTTGTTTTTTTTTGTACTGGGGATCAAACTCAGGACCTTGTGCTTGTAAGGCAGGTGCCGGAACCGCTGAGCTAAATCTCCCGCCTAAAATTGGTTTTTATATTTTATTTTGAACAATTGAGATTTGTAATTTATAAAGTAAGCATACTATGCATGAAATAAGCATAATCTTAAGTTTGGTAGAGTTGTTTGGTTGCCTTAGGAATATTTGGTATATGGTGATATGATGGTAATTGATAATACAATTGAAAGGATGGGGTTTTATAGACTATCTCTCTCCCTCCCTCTTTACTATTTCTTGTACTTTTTGTTTTGGAGAATGGATGTTTCACTGTGTTGCTCAGGCAGGCCTTGAACTCCTGAGCTAAAGTGGTCCTCCAGCCTCAGCCTTCTGAGTAGGTGAGACTATAGACCCTCACCATCGTGCCTGGCTCCTCTTTTTTTTTCACATTTTTACATTTAATGTAGGGTTATCTTGAAAATATGTACAGGTGACCCTTTATATTTTGGGATTCTGTATCTACCAATTCAACCAGCAACAGATTGAAGATATTTGAAGGAAAAAATTGTATCTGTACTGACCATGTACAGCCTTTTTCCTTCTCATTCCCTAAGCAGTGCAAAATAACAGCTGTTTACATAGTGTTTACTTTGTAGTATGCACTGTAAGCAGCTGCAGATGAGGGAAGGTGCAGGGCGGGGTGGGGAGTAAAGAGAGCAGTGGCCTGGAGGATGTGGGGCCGGATGGAAACACTGTGCCCTTCTGTATAAGGGGCTCCAGTGTGCTTGGGTTTTAGCTAGGACAGCTGTGGGATAACTGCTGCGTTGAAGCATAATCTTCATAATCAAGTCAGACATTGGTATTTTACAGTACGGTGTGTTAGGATCTGAACTCTGGTGATGTTATTCCTAAGTGGATTGTGAACCACTCTGTCTGAATTATCTGCCTTCATGATGTATTAAATTATAAACAGGTAATGTTCATGCATGTATGTAATACATTGTTATCCAAATTTATTTAAAAATGAAATAGGGCTGGGGTGTAGCTCATTGCTACAGCATATGCTGAGTGTGTAAGGCCTTCAGTTTGAGCTGTAGTGTGCTGACCTCAACAAGGAAACGGTTTATAAGTTATGATTTCAAAGTACAGTTATAAAAAAAAATGCATAGCCTTTTCTTTTGGGGGAATTTCTGTGTGACTCAAGCTATACAAGCAGTGTTTAGATATTAAGTGTACAGTGCAAACAAAGAAGAAAAAGTCACTGTGATATATAACAGTAAGGGACAATTTCTACAAAAATCAAGAATTTGACACATTTTATAGGAAGCAAAGCACATACTTGAAATTATAGCTGTGTAGATTAGGGGTTAATTGCATCACTATTGGTTTGAAATGTGCACTTATTACTTAAGAATGTCTTCTGATACTGTTGATTAAGGTTCATTACTAAATGGAAACAAACTTACTCTATCTTCAAACTTCTGATAAAGCAGGGTGTGCACACTGAGCAGTTCTCCAGTTCTCTCTGAGCGCCCTCGGGTGTCCTCCATTTCAGTTCTGCACTGTCAGCCCGTGTTGGTGCAGACCCTAAATGAAGGATCAGGCTCACAAGACACCCCACTGCAGATACCTTTTTGTTTTTCTTTTGTACCAGGGATTAAACTTGGGACCTTGTGCTTGCGAGGCAGGCAGTGGAACCACTGAGCGAGCTAAATCCCTGGCCCGCCATTTTTCTTTTTGAAAAGGAGTCTTGCTGTGTAGCCCACACTGGCCTTGAACTTGGGTTGATCCTCCTGCCTCAGCTTCTTAATAAATTTTCAGCCACAAAAATTATCATCCATTGATGATTCTCACCTGAAGTGTAGTGATTGATGAAAAGCACTTTTCTATTTTTTTTTGAGACAGGATCTCACTATGTAGTTTAGACTGGGCTTGAACTCACTATTTACTAAGGCTGGCCTTGAATTCCTGGCAATCCTCCTGCCTCGGCCTCCCAAGTGCTGGGATTACAGGTGTGTGCCACTATGCCTGGCTAATTGTTTCTTTTTACATCTATTCCTTGGCATTCTACTCTGTAAGAGGGTTCTTCTTTTACTTCCTCAATAGTATAGCTCAGTGGTAGTATACCCCTGGATTCAGCCCCCAGCATAGAAAGGAAAGAAGGATGAGGTATTACAACACAAACAATTCACTAAAATAGTAAAGCCTTTAAAAACTGCTTTGTAATTATTTTGTCTCAAATTACTGAGGTTAAATTCTCCTTTAAAAATTTAAGTGAATCAACGTTAAAATAAATCAGTGGCAGACTACCTGAAAGTAGTAAAATATAAAAACCAATAGTTATGAGTTTTGGGAGTACAGCTTTGTGGTATAATGCTTGCCCAGCAAGCACGAGACCTTGGGTTCAATCCCCAGCATCACAAAAACCGCAAAAAAAAGTCTTTTATGTACACAATTAAAAACAAGTGGCATGTGCCACCTTGCCCAGTGTTTTCCTTTTCCCCTCCTTTTTCCTCCCCCTTACCCCATACCCTTTTCTCCCCTTTCCTTTTTTTCTTCTCTGTTCTTTCCTTTTTCTTTGTTTCTCTCTTTTTTTGTGGTGCATGTTAGTATTACATAATTATAGTGTTGGGAAGGTGGTATGTGTGTTTGACATATCTTAATCAGTTTCACCCATTCCCTCTTCTCCCTTTCCTCTGTCTCTCCCTTTCCACTCCCCTCCTGCTTGTTCCCTTTTCTGTCTCCAGAAGTCTACCTCCTGGATTCCTGTCCTCTATCTTAATTCTTTATTTCTTTTTAAGTTTCTTGTATAAGAGAAATCATGTGATATTTAATTTTCCGAGTCTAGCTAATTTCACTTACCGTGTTGGTTTCTAGTTCCATTTTGGTACAAATGACATGTTTTCATTCTTCTTCATCACTAATATTCCATTGTACAGATCACATTTCCTTTAACCATTCATCTGCTGAGAGACATCTGGGCTCTTTCCACAGTTCAGCTATTGTGGATTGCAGTGCTGTAAAGATGAGTATGCATGTATCACTATAGAACGAAAACCTTAATTCTATAAGAAGTATGTCTAGGAATAGTATAGCTGGGTCAAGTAGTACTTCTGTGTTTAATCTTTCTTTTTTTGTTTTGTTTTTGGTACTGGGGATAGAACTCAGGACCTTGTGCTTGCAAGGCAGGTGGCAGTACCGCTGAGCTAAATCCCCGGCCCCTGTGTTTAATCTTTTGAGGAATCTCCAGACAGATTTCATGGAGTGGTTATACTTGTTTACATTCCCACCAACAGTATAGGGGGATTCCTTCTCTCCCACCATCCTTGCTCGCATTCA